TGAGCGTCTTAAATAAAGAGAGAACCTCACTCTGCTCTTAACTCGATATATATCTACTTTTGTGTTCGGGAAAAACGAAGAAGTATGTAGGAACGCGAGAGGAAGAAACAGCTACAGGGAGAATGAAAGACTTGGATATATATGCTTTGGATTATTGATGCTTTTGAAAGATGATATTTCACGTCGGATTGTGGCTGTTTTTTCTTTTATTTTGAATGGGAGCCCGCATTGTGATCTACGGCTTCATTGTGTGATTTAACGTTGTGAGCTTATCTCGTTAAGAGTTTTTCAGCGCCTGAACGGTCATTGGAGATTCAAAAATTGTTGAAAAAGAAAGAGAGTGACGGTAAAGCCAAGGCATTAAGTAGTGTTAATGCTCACCATTCTACACGAGAGTTCCAGTTTCCATTCGTTATTTATTTCTACGCTATTTAGAAACTAGATAATGCCCGATATTGTTATAACTAATATGAAGATAGCGCTGGTGTAGGTGTGCGACAGTGGGAATCGTTCGTAATTCGATAGAATAATCGTACGCGAAGTCTAATGTTCTTCGGCATTACCGAACGCTCGAATTATAAGCCAATCGATAATCGATATTTGCCATTCCCATGTAGAAGAAAAAAATTTTACTAACGCAACAACGATTTACCCTGATACGTCCTACCTACCTCCCGAAATAAGTCTCATAACATTTTTATCACATCTAAGCCACAATCTAAGCTCCGTACTAATGAGACTTCGTATTCGCTAATTAGCAAATCATAATAAAAGTATCAAACGCGATAATTCTTCATTGCGGCATTGGTGGTGTATCGTAAGAATTTGGAAAGTCTACGGGATCCTTTAACCTCGTTTCCCATTAAACTCATCCCCCGTGTAAATTATATCAGCCAAGCGCAACAAAGCGAACAAAGCCACAAGCTCACGATGGTCCAGGAATAAAAGATAAAAGCTACCAGATCTTTCGCAATACTTTGTGCTCGTTCGGGGGAAAACAAAAAATCGACGCGACCGTAAAGTGCTCGGCATAATGTCGCGAGTCACCGAGCAACAATCGGCTCTCCCGCCCGCCCTCTTCACCGCCATCTGACCCATTAAACAGTCTCCATGGAAATTCAGGGGAAATGTACGCCTCGGGTAATGGAAACATTAGGCTGCGACGCAGGGGACAGTTGAAAAACAATGGGATAAACCGTGGGCGCGCGACCGATCCATGGATCTCTACACAAGGATGGTACTCACGGACCGCGGCCATACTATTCGACACTAGTTAATCGGGGTGGGGATGGATGGGGAGGGGTACGATTAGAATCGCGGCCGGGGACTTAGTCTCTACGACCGAGAGACTACGGGGCCCATAATGCTTGGGATTGTCGGCGGGATAGGCGCAGTCGCCATCGGTCGCAGCCTTTCGCGTCTCTTATCGCTGTACCGTTGCGCGCTCTTTTGCTCTCGTTGCCCCGCACCCGCCGCATTGCCGGGCGGCATCTCTTTGGGCTTGGCTAGCGGAATTAGCCTTAGCGCGAAGCTACAATGGCGAATTCGCCTCTCGGCGCACTCGTTGATCGACGGACTCACCTGGATGACCTATTGTGACGGGCGACTTTTCGCAATGTCGTTGTGCCGGTAAGAGTGTGTGCGAACGGCGTTACATTAGGATTGCGCGATTGAACCGAGAGACGATAAATACTATCTTGGAATTTATATTATCTTGAGCAAGATTGGCCATCGGGCTTGTATAAGCTTGTGCAAAGGCTATCCGATATTGAAGAGAAAGATCCTCCCCACCTTCTCCCGTTATTTATAAAATATCATTTAATTATGCTTACTCGAGGCCTCGTTAGGCCATTAGGCCGCCGTGTGCCATTTTAATCAGCCTGCACAGTTCTATAATGGCAAAATACTCCAAACAATGGGAATAATGATAGAATGAAGTAACTCGAATTTAATTAAGCCGAAATAATAGTTATGTAATGGAGAATTTATCTTACGTTTCGGGCACTTTGGTGCTAACCATTATCTATCTATGTCCCTTCCCTGTCTCAACTTGACGACGCGCTCGAGAATTCCGCATAATATGTTTCTCGGCACTCGCCTATTTCGCCCGCTCGTTTAATAATAATAGGTTAAGCTCTCGAAAATTTATTTTCGCCAAGATTTTTCGCAAACCAGGCCGTCTACATCCAGTTTTTTTCCCTCTTCTTTTCGTTTTTGTTTTCGTTTTTTTTTTTTGTTTTGTTTAATAAACTTGCTTTTTAAGACGTTGCCAAGAAGCTTTTACGATCAAATTTGTCGAAAAAAATAAAAATTTTATTGCCATAAATATGACTAACGGTCAGAATGAAAAGAAAGTTAAAAAATGTGCCGGTACGTTGAGCACATTTTTCTCGAAACTCGTTTGTTTCGTTTTCAAAAAATGTCGCTCACAAGGGTCATTTAATTGTTCTAGTTAAAAAATGCAATTAGGTTTTGCTTAAAATTCTATCGCGCTTTTTAATTATACACAAACACGCCCTACTCGAAGCTACTTGAGAAGCGATTATTAATACTTTCGAGGAACATCTCATTTACAATATCGCGATCGTTAATTTTTGATAATCTTGCCACGGCGATGCATACGGCGATCGCTACTCGTATGAAACTTAAAAATGCGTTCACTTTTTATTTCATGCGAGACTAACTGTAAAAAAAGGTACATCGTGTTCGGCTGTTCGCTAAAGCATTAATTACGTCCCTTTAAGGATTCGCATGTAATTTCATTTGTACGAGATACCGATTTTTAAAGCGATACCAGCACCGAGTGACTTTGCTCCCCGATCCGAAACGACTTATACGAGCTCTCGACCCCTCCCCCCCTATCCCCTTCCCACCACACCCGTCCAAGACTCGCACACTACGAAAATGACGGCTTGTAGAATAGCATCGACAATGGAATTTTCAGAAAGCACGTGAAACCTTTGACGCGTCTGAGTTTCTAAAATCCATCGGCCTTTATAATTTACCAAAACCGGAAAGGATATTCCGTGTTCGAGCGCTTAGCAACCCTCGCCTCGGTACTGATCGGGCTGGTCACGCTTGCCGATCGATTCTCGATCCAGGACGATCGATCGTTCGCGCCTTCCTAGCGTCGTACGCGCGCTGTTACGTCCGATGTTACGCTGACGACTATCTCCTACAACAGACCTCCACCGTCTCTCCCCCCCCCCCCCCACACA